TAGCTGGGACTACAGGCATGTGCCACCACACTCAGCTAATATTTTGATTTTTTTTGTAAAGACGAGGTCTCGCCATGTTGCCTGGGCTGGTCTCAGACTCCTGGGTTCAGGCAATCTTCTTGCCTTGGTCTCCCAAAGTACTGGGATTACAGGTGTGAGCCACCATGCCCAGCCGGACATGACATTTTGAAGGAGGGGAACTTGGGGGCAGTCCTTGCCTTGTTGGAACACTTAAATGGAAACTCAAAAGATACCAAGAATGTATTGACAATACCAAAAAAATCAGATGTAGCCGTAGAAACAAGATATTTCACAAAGGACAAAGAGCAGAATTTTGACCTAAGGACTGTTCAGAAACACTGAGAGTAGATGGTCCCCAAGTAAGAGTGGAAGAATTGAGAGAAGCATCCTTGCCACTTCTTCATTGCTCTTTTCCCTTCTCCCTGTCTCTCCCTATCCACTTAGCTCTTTCTCCCCCTTCCAAGTCTGTCTTTTAGTCTGTCTCCTCCTCAACACGGGAGTCTGAGGAAACAGTCCCACTTGCTCTCCCTCCCTGTCCTCCTGGAAACTTCCTTTCCTCCTGTCAAATTGTTCCACATTGGTTCCCATTCACACCTGTTTGCTGCACCCTCACGCTGCAGGGTCTTACTCCTTGAGAATAGGGTGGAGCTTCTTTCCCGGGCTTCTTTCCCGGGACCAGCTCAGTTTCTTCCTGAGCCCAGTTGCATTCCTGGTGAATCCCTTACCACTGTCAATGTCTTAACAACTCAGATAGCCTGTCCCTCCTCATCTGAGCTGGCACCCTTTACGTTTAATTAGTCAAATCTCTTCCTTTTCTTCCAGGTGCTGGGTGAATTCCCATGGCTGTCTGACGGTAAGCCCAGTGAACACCAGACCTAAGTAATCTGAGTGGATGGGAAGAGGAAGCTGCCTGGGTCCTCAAGGCCCCTAGGATCAAGAATCCTTTGCAAAATGCTCATTTCAAGGCAACATGTTGCTCTGCTTCACTTTTCTATCAGTTTTTATGGATTAAACTAGCTATTAGTGTGAGCCCAAGGGGTTTCTCAAAATAGGAATGGTAGGATCTTAGAATTTCAGAGTCACGGGGAGTCTGAAAGGACCGCCAAGTTCAACTTCCTCAAGCGAGAAAACAAGTGACTTGCTAGTAGTCACAGAGGCAAGACAAGACCACTGGCCGTCTGTCTTTCTTTTCAGCCATCTCACATCTACTCCAGGATTCTTGCCACAGTTTCAACCGGTGCCAAAAGGGTTTTCTATTTTAACTACTTTGTTTAAAGAAAGAATTTAAGAAACAGGCTCAGGAAATACAAAAACTGCCACAGCCACATAAGGCCAAGAGCATGAACAGCAGAGGAGTCCATTTTATTCCAGAAAAATGCCATTTCCACCACAGGAAATAAAATATTGACTCAAATATCTCACTAAAAAGGAAGAGAGAAGAAGCAGCAATCCCTGCAAGTGCTTGTGTTTTTATGCTTCAATATCAGTGAATCTCCCAGGTAAATTAAGGGAATTGGTTTTACCCAGTCAGGGAACCAGGGACAAAGAGCAGTGTCAGGACATGTGTGTGTTGGGACTGCCGTGTTGGAAATTCAAATAAACCCATAAATGGAACCATATTTGGGCTTTCTTTACTACTGAATAGCAAGTACAGTCCAAAAATTCAAGGTCATCTGGGCAGAACTGGGAAGAGTATTGGAAAATGGAGGCTTATGATCAGAAAATTCCAGTTCTATACCAGTCAAGGGGTTGATACCCAGATTACCAGCCAACAATTAGAGGCCTGTTCCTGTAGTTACCATGACAGATGGTAACAGTGTATAGAGTGGGCTATATGAACTATAGACCAAGTTATGGGACAATCCCTGAAAGACCAAGTTAGAAGCCTATGTTCTGGTGTTGAATTGTTACCTGGTAGTAACAACACTGGATGTGTCCCTCTACATCTGAGAGTCCCAAATGTGTCTGAGGTTTGGTGTTAGGCAGCTGCATATGCATGTGGTGAGTTAAAGAAGGAACCATATTCATGTGTTTAGAAAATAAAATACTTCAGGTTCAAGTCATGTGGGTATGGTTGACTATGTGTATAGTTTCAAAGCTTCAGAAATGCACATTGCTCTTTCTGGGCCTTAGGTGGAAAGAAAGAAGGAAGGAAGAAAGGAAGGAAGGAAGGAAGGAGGGAGGGAGGGAGGGAGGGAAGGAAGGAAGGAAGGAAGGAAACAGAATGCAGTGCAGACCCATCAAGGTATTTATTCTTTAGATATTAAATAAGGGTCAAGTGTTTACAGCATAAGCCGCATTGGGTGGAGCAACAAAAAAACCAGACTAAGACATCTTCTGGGTTGGTTCAAGCCCACAGAACCAGGAAGTTATAGGGAAGCTGATTTTGCTCAATTAAGGAATTCTAACAATTAGAGCTGTCCCACAAAGGATGAGCATGGAGGTGAATGCTGAGGTTCTGAGCTCCATCTGGAAATGTCAAAATCTGTAGGATGGCCATCCGTCCCAGAGGGTGTACAAATTAGATTTCTGCATTGATAGGAGAATGAATGAACTGCTCTCTAAGACCCTTCCCAAATTTAGAATTCTAGGAATGAAATGAAGGGTAGAATGGAACTGATTTGCCGTGTGCCCTTTCCTGTGGCCACTTTTGGGGCATATACCCCACCAGGCTCTGCAGAGGCTATAGAAAAGCAGTCTTGCCTCATCCATAAGCCTTCCTAGGTCTCTGTCTGTGATCTCTCTCTAGTGATCCTGGTGGGTCTGGCACTACCGGAAACCCGTAGAGCTACCCAGAACAAGCCAAGAGGGTCTACATTCCCAGGGTGATCTCCATGAAGCCCAACCACAAGGTTGGGAACTGGATGGGCCTAACCTGGTGTCCAGGGGAGTAAGGAAGGGCTGAGAAAGCCACAGCAAGTCCTTTCTGTGGTATAAGAAGAGATGTCTCTTCTTTCCTCAGTGGTCTGCTCAGTAGTTCTGGGAGGTAGTCAGGTTCTAAGGATGTGATCTGCTCTGGGTTGGCCTTTTGCCAAATCTCAGGACAGTTTAGTACCCACAAACAATGTAAAATCTGGGGAGCCCTCGGAGCAGGGCCCAGGCAGGACATCCTGCAGCCCCTGGCCCCACCCCCGCAGCACTCCACCCTTGCCCCATTCTTCAGAGTCTGGGTGAAACTGCATCTGCCTCTGAGGGTGAGAGGCAGCAGGGGGCGAAATAACCCTCACATTTCATTATTGTCAAAGCTGAAATCCAGAAAATCCCCCATAGCTGAAAGACTCTCCCACTGCTTCTTGGAGGAAGAGCAGAGAGGGGGAATCAGAAGAGTGCTTTTAAAATTGTCCTCAAGCTTCAGAAAATAACATGTAGCACATTTTGTCGAGTATAAAGCTGCTGTATAATGTGAAACGCTCCACAAATAATGCAATTTGTGGTCAGTTACACCCCCAGAATTGTTGGTTTTCTATTTGCTGGCTGGTTAGACAGACACTACTTATTAGTTTTAACATGTACAGAACTAAAAAAAGGTATGTATTATTTTCACAGGATACCATCAGTACTGATTTAATAATGGCTTCCTTAATCCACATCCATGTAATCTGGAAATAATAAACATTTGAAGTAAATGTAGGAGTTCCCTTCATCTGGAAAAGTTCTCTTGTACCTACTTAATCAACTGCCCTGGGGGCAGTTGTACAGGGAGTGTTGCCTGTTCAACCGGGACTGATTACATTCAAATCTTCTCTCCCAACGTACTGCACTTCTGAAGGAAAAGCCTAACTTCGTCAGACAAGCTGAATCCTGTCATTCTCCTTGTCTTGTTTATGTGGGGGGGGGGGGGAAATACACCAGTATCTGTGTTGAAATGAGCCACACCTCGGTAGACACTCAACCAAAATGCTCATCTAATAAAAACAAAAGCTATTAGAAAAAGCACCCTTCTACATTTCTCCAGATTTACTTCCTGATTAGCATGGGTGTTTGCATTTATACAACCACATTTTGGGAAAGAATGGAAAGATAATCGTTTCAAAATAATTTCTGTCTTTCACACAGAAAAATCCACATTCACTTTTTAACATTTTGTTTTATCATTTCTGACATGCCATCTTTTCACTCAGCCTTGACATGTAGCTGTGTCTGGGGTGAAAGCATAAAGCCATTGAACACTTTCTTACAGGAACAGATGAAGTTCCCCTGCCCCACCCTCTCCTCCAAACCCAGCTTCCCTTCTGCCTCCACATCTGGCCAAGAGAAGGCGCATGGAATCCACATCAGCTCCTGCTTCAACCAAATTTCATTTCAAATTTCAACCCCTCCCACATTTTATTTGAAACACCATTTGTTTCTCTCTCTCTGTCTCTAACGGTTTTCCTTAAACAGACCAATTCCCCTCTCCCCATCCTGTGAAGAGAAAAAAAGAATACTTAAATTTAAGCAGAAGTGAATGGACAGGCAAAAGAGCAGAAAAGGCAATGGCAAAAATAAACTGAAAACCAGTTATCCATCCACTATCACCCCCAAAAGCCCAGCAAACAACCAAAAGACAGAGAAACAATTCAAGTCCTGAAGCCACTGGAATTAAAACGGAGGAAACAACATCTGGCAAGTTCCACATGTCAGTTCAAAACTACACAGTGTTTCCTCCATAAAGAAATATCCCGGAGTGTTCCAAAGTCCCTACTCCCTCCACATCTCAGAGCAAGAAAGAACCAGTTAAGGCAAGAACAACTTCAGCCCAGTCTGGCTGATTTCCCGTGACATCTTTTCAAAACACATTTTTCTGAACTTTCTGGAAAAAGTTGTCTCCATATCCACTTTGAGCTAAAAAGTTTCAAGGACTGGCTTCTTAGAGAATCGTAGAAAAATAGTGAAGAGAAAAGAAAGAGCAAAGCTCAAATGAGGTCAGAAAAAGGAGAGCCGTGGAAAGAAAGGACAAAGTTTGCAGAGCGTCCCTACAGCCCTGGGAGCTGTCCTACCTGGAGGGTCCCAGGGACGGTGGCACTCTGAGTGGCAGGCACTGGCGGCAGCCCTGGTCCGCTCTTCTGGAGGTATGTGACCGCACTGAGGGGAGGGACCTGCCTCCCGAGGTTATAAGTTTCCTCTGCTGGTGTGCTGGGGTGTGTGATGGGCGGTTTCTTTTCACTGTGTTTTAAAGGAGTTTCTATGAATCAGTCTGGCTTTAAAAAAAATTTTTTTTGTTGGTAAGCTACGCCCTGCTAAGCTGGCAGTCAGTCAAGAGTGGCTGGGAGTGAGCCATCAATTCAAAGAACGCTGTTGTAGGCTCTCTCTGACTCAGACACACAGACCACAGTGGAAAAAGGAGTGACATTGCTTCAAATGAGTAATAGGAGTCACACAAATAGATCTGTTTACCGAAGCCCATTCCTCCTTACCAAAAAGGAGACTTGGTTACCATGGACATCAGGCAATACACAAGTCTCCAGCTGGGGAGGGGGAGGCAAAGGGTCAGTGCCCTGCTAATGAAACCCTAGCTAATCATCACATGCCTATTCTTCCTCTCCCATGAAATGCATCAGACACTGCTCACTGTCAGGATTTATCAGATTTCTTATTTACTTCCCTGCATGACCCTCGTGCACTGTCCTGGGGTGGCTGTACAGTGAGGTCCTGGAAGCCAAAGGGGACACACCAAGGGTCCTCGTAACCCTGCCCCTGAATGATAGAGCACGGTTCGAACAGCAGGCCATCCTGGACTTTAATTATGCCCTGTTAATGCCCATATGGACTCTCTGCATTTCAGGAGGAAGTCCTCCAGTTAAGAACTTTGCTCTCTGAGCTCCATGTAATCATCACCTGGACCTTGTTCCACAAGTGACTTTCTTGAGCTCAGCCAGCAGCAGAGTCATCACAACGACCTCCCTGCATCACCCCTCTCTCACTCAGCACTGGGGTGGTGAGAGGCCCGAGAAGTCATGGAATCCCATAGCCAAGGCATTCCACGGGAGACGTCAGGAGCCCGGGCACTTGAGTTCAAGCCCAGCTCTCCACTTCTTTGCTGTGTGACTTCAGGCAGATCACTTAACCTCTCCATACCTGTTTCCTCTTGCATAAAACTGAGATAGTAGGTACCTATCTCATAGAGTTATGGTAAGAAACACACATAAAGACTTCATGACGGTGCACACAGGGAACACTCGACAAATGTTAGCTACAACAATTATTTTGCTGAAGAAGAAACTCAGGCCCAGAGAGGTGGAATGACTTATTCAAGGAGATACAGTCAGTTCACAGTAGTAGCTTGGATCTCAGTCACCAAACCCAGGCAATTCTATTTCTGTTCTTCCTGTTGCAGCCCAACAACCTGTTTCGAGTCAAAATATGCTTACCTAGTATTTATTCAGCCAATACACGCTCTATGCCTACCTTCACTGGGCCCTGTTCAGAGCACTGGGTCACGGAAGTGAACAAGATCCCTGCCACTTGGAGTCTGTATTTCATAAAAGAATTGGGAACAGACAGGTGGCTAGCCACCAAAATGTTAATAAAAGTAGGTGGCAAAATTACGTGTGAATTTCCATTTCTTCTGGTCACATTTCTGTATTTTTCCAAATCTTCTGTAATGAACCTATATTACTTTCGTCAAGTAATTGGGATGTGCACAAGTGAATGGTTTTTAGGGGAAAAAATATTTTAACATGGGAAAGTAGACTATATTTTCTGAAGTGGGTGGTAGGGAAAACAGACACACACACACACACACACACACACACACACACACACACACACACACGATTCGATGCCGCATCTTCGAGCCCCTGAGAACTGAATTCTATCCCTGTAAAGGTAAGAAAGTCTAGATTTGTCATTAAAAACTGATGATGAGATAGAAGATTGCATCGGTTTCTCATATATTTCCTCACCTCTCCCCTCATCACTCTATTTGATTTTAAGAATGCCTGTCACTGGGCTCGGTGGCTCAGCCTGTAATCCCGCGCCTTTGGGAGGCTGAGGTGAGGGGATTGCCTGAGCCCGCGGGTTCGAGACCCGCCTGGGCAGGCGAGACCAGCGCATACCTGTAATTCCGGCTACTTGGAAGGCTGAGGCGGAAGGATCGCCGGAGCCCAGCAGGTCGAGGCTGCAGTGGCCGGGAGCGGCCACTGCACTCCAGTCTGGGCGACAGAGTGAGACTCCAACTCAAAAAAAAAAAAAGAATGCCTGTCGGAGAGGAGCCCCACCCAGCAGTGAGTTCAGAGTCCCTGTGATCTCTGAGCAGCCTGACTCTGAGGCCTCAGGGAAGGGAGGCTATCTGTTGGTGAAGCCCTGGGAATCCCCACTCCCACCTGTCTGGATGGCCTCCTCTCCCCTACTGGAATCTGCCCCTCTTTCTGGGCTTTCCTATCCGTGGAGTTGCCTTTCACCTCCAAGACCATCTGCCAGTTTTAAACTCTCTGTTCCCCTCCGCTGTGTAAAGGAGGGCTGGGCTCCAGAGGTAGCATCCTCACATGCTGAGGAGTATGTTGTCTGGTTGCATTTTTAAAGAGAAACCCAGAGCTAGGGAATAATCAGAGGGCTGGCATTCTCCCTTCCCCCTTCCTCCCGGGTTAACAATAATAATAATAAAGCAGGAACTTTCCTTAAAGTCCTTGGGTAGAGGAATCATTTGGTCCCTCTGGCTTCCAGCATGGCATTTGAGAGAGACACCGGACTGAGGGAGAGGCTCTGAAAACGTAATTCCAAAAGCAGGAGTTCTAGTTTTTCCTCTCCTACTGCCTGGCAGTGGTGGTGAGCAAGCCGTCTGTCTGCCCGCCTGGATTTCAGCCTTAAAGGGAAGAGACGGCAGAGGCTTACTGTTGGGCCGCATAAGTCTCACCTTGCTATGTACTTATGCAAATGCTCAGATTTGGAGAGAAAATATTAAATGCTTTGCTTTCTTCACAGACACACACACACACACACACACACACACACACACACACGTCAGGGTGCTATATAAAGCGAAGTTGTGTAAATATTTTCAAAAGACAAATGCCAGTCCGGGATTTCTAAAGGCTCATAATTAACCCTTGAAATATCGCTGAGCTCTTTTTATAAAACAAAGTTATCAAGTCTAGGAAAGAAAGGGGATCTGTTCGGACCGAATCTCCAGCTTATTGTGCCTCTGGATGTGATTGCAGTGTTAAGTCTGATTCTGTCCATCGCTGTGAACAATTCTAACACAGCCAAAGGTCCTGGGGCCTAAAATCGCACGGGGCTGGGAATACAGCTCCCCTGGTGTTCATCTGGCCTTTCCAAACAATGCCAAGTACTCTGCCTTTCTGCTCCCATCTCCCCCATTTGGAAGGTAGATTAGGCACATTCATTTTCCACATGGGCAAAGAACCGGGCAAAGTTTCATCTGACCTCAGTAAAGCCCCGTAGTCTTGGGAAGGAATGTCCCTCTAGCCCAGAACAGCCGTGTTACTCTGGCACAGGAATATTTTTCCCTCCTTCTGAAGCAACGAGAATCAGTTTCTGGCACCAGGCCATGTGGGGCAGATTTTTCAAGTTTGAACTGGTGTAAACACTTCTAATGAATGTGGATCGAGGGCCTCTAATGACTAATACAAGGAGAAGTCTCCCAAGGTAGGTCAGGCCCCCTACAACCCACAGAAGAGAAAACTCATAATAGCTTGAAATTGTTTTTGCTCAAACTTAGCTAACCCAAAAGAATGCTAAACCATGCAACATGTTCCCCAAAGCTGTTATATGAACAGGTATGTCAATATTAATATTAGCAAACACTGCTTGAAAAGTAAACACAGTGGAAAAAAATTTATACAGTATCTTCCAAATGAATGCTTCTTCCTTGCCACGCCTCTTGGAAATTTGAGAGTGCACTAGAAATTTCATATCCTCCTCTTTCTTTCATTTCTTTCTAAGATGTTCCTCTCCTTATTTCTCTCTCAGGCTGTTTTCTTATGGGTTTTATTGCTTACTTTATTAAACTTCTCACAGTAAAATGTAATTTTCATATAGTTTCACAAAATGAGAAGTCCGTAAAATCTCCGTAACCTCCTTCTTTGTTGTCTCTTAGCTAGCTGGCCCTGAAACTGCTTCGGAAAGATAAAACTGATGAAATACCAAGAGCCTTCCTAGAATGTGGGCCACTGGCCTGACACTTTTAACTGAGCAGAGAGGAAAGTCTCACTCACAAAGTGGGCTTGTGGCTATAGGAGAAATGGCTGTGACATCTAAACCTGAGGATAATAAGCCACCCCTACCATGTTGGGCAGTTACCAGATTGATACTAAATGCTGCAATTAATTTCTTCAGGCAGTTGTGATATGTGTGGCTGTTCAAAATGGCTGACAAAAAAGATCTCCCGATCCATGTCCACTGTGGATATGACTTCATAGCCAGAAAAGGACAACAAGCAAACAAACAAGAAACAATTGGGAACAAAATAAAAACTGAAGAGATCCTGTCTTTCTCTTACCAATACCAACTGCAACACAAGAAGATGGATAGTAAAGGTATATTCAATAAATGGTTTTCTTTTGGTCTTTGTGTTTCTGGAGTATTGTTCCTGCTGCTTAATGGACCATTTCAGGTAAAGAACTGAATATTCCTAAGTAATTAAAGTGTGACAATCCCTCCCTTTGTATACAGGTCCAGTAAGTAGATGCTGGCTACAAAGCAACTATTCAATTAAAATCTAGTACATTTAATCAATGAAGGTCTAATACCCAAGTAAAAGGATCTCATGTTCTCCTTCAAGATTTTTCCCTCAAACTCAGATGTGAGTCAGAGTACCCCTCTAGTTAAGCCCCCACAGCTGTGGGAAGAGCAGTTAGTACATGTCTTTAAATTTGCCCAAGAAAAAATTGTCATAGAAGGGGTCACAAAGCCAAGCCATCCAGTCTACGGATCTTAAAACACATTCTCCATTGGGACTGTGTGGTCAGCAAAATACACAATACGTGCGAGAAGTGATTTTTGAGACTAAGTTAACACTTTCAAAGACATGAGTCATTTCTTGGTGAAAAAAATAAAAAAATAAACAAACACCAAGTAAAATGACTTGATTATTCAGACCCACTGGAAAATAGGATATTCTTTCTGGTTAAATTTTAGAATAACAGGTCAATTTTTTTTTATATGACAGGACAAAACAAGAACTGTTTCAACCCTTTGAGACACACACATACACACAAGTTGGCATTTGCCATTCCAAACACAGATGCCAGACCAGTCTCTCCTTTCTAGAAGGATGTGAAAGGAGGCAGAGTCCATGGCCACAAGATTCACAGCCATTCCTCCCTAGACACAGCGGGATAAACTCTTGACAAACATGCACAGCTCCCTTTCCTAGACTCTATACTGATCATCT